ACCTCCATTGCTTTAACTCTCGAGTCAAAGTCTTGAGGCAACTTATCGAGGACGAGATATGAGTCTTTATTGAGGCCTACTAAATCATTAGGCTTTAACTCATCCACAGGGACCTAATGACAGTTAGAAAAGTCCTCCATATTGTAGATACAAGGCCATTACAAGGCCAATGATGGGTAGGTAGATAGTTTGACGAGTGGTCGTCTTAACTACCATAGATTTCTTCTCCTTCTTTTCTTTTCGTTGTAGTGTGCTTATTGCAGATCCTGAACCCAATAGTACCAATATGATATCGTCGTCCTCGCCTCCTTTTGGTTTACCTGCTTCGGGAAGATCGGCCTCATCCTCATCTGCAGGCAGGATCTCTGCAACACTACCAACCAAATGGGGTAATTGCCGATTGAGGTTTATTTTCTCCTAAACGTTACGACAAGAACATTGATTGATCTACCACCAGGGTGGTGGTGGTGCTAACCTACCTGATTATCCTTCATCTTCTCTTTAATAGAGTTGAGTTCATGTGTCAAGCGTTGAACCTCTGACTTGTAAACTCGTATGTCATTCTGGATAAGCCGGGCCCTTTGCTGGATCCCCTCAGTACCTAATGATGTATGATACCAATTGGAGATAGACATTTCTGACTCGACTGTCTTATTATTACTCATATTCTTCAAGTCCTCCATAAGGGCCTTCATCTCTGCATCCTCTTCCTCCTCTTCTTGTTGTTGTTGATTTACTGACTCAGGGTTAACAATGTTGTTGCCTGTGGACGGGGCTAGAAGGGGCTGCTCTTCGGGCGAACTCATTAAGATAAATAAACCAAGTTGACCAGAAGCGACGACAGAGTCTCCTATACGCATTATGACAGACTTGATTTGATAGACTTGAACTTGGAGCCCACAAGTTGGGGAGAAGAGTTATAACAATTGTACAGTAGAGGTTTAGTAGCAGGGAGGGCTATAACGGCTCTAGTCAATAATCTCGAGGTCTTCAGCGGCCAACGATGGTGATGGCTGTTTGCCCTTCTTACGTGCCTGATATACATGTGTCCACAAGTTCTTCATAACACTACTACTACCTTGGCATCATCAAGTACGTTCATCCTATTCTCCTCGTCGTCATCCCTATTCGTAGCATCACCCATACCCTCCTCCTCCTCATTATCAGATGTATCCATCCCATCGTCCAGCAGTGGTGCATTCATTCCAATGTCCTTCAATCCGACTTCTGAAGAACAATCCAGCATCACTAATGTACTAGGTAATATCTCTTCAGACAGCGCATATCATTATTATTATTACCTGGTTCATCTGTATTAGGCATCGGATTAGCAAAGTCACCCCTTTTGAAGCGTGTCTCCGAGAAGTAAGTGACGAATACTTCATGGCCACCAAAGATACCTGAATCGTAACGGAGGTGATAATAATAAGCGGACCTCATACAGCAGTAAGTCAGGTATTACGGCCATCTAATATACGTTTCACCTGGCCGGCCTCTTCGACATTCCGGAACTCTATAAAACAGCATCCAAGACCAGGTACTTGCATATCGACTGCTGGTACTGCAGCTGTATTCCTCTGAGATAGACCACAACTGTTTATGATATCACAGGCCATGCTAAGTACTACTACCCTTTGGTCACCGGCGTCATCCTCCATCGTAGCCGAGTCATGATGATTAATATCCCCATTGGGTGGTTGCTGCCCAACAGGTGTATCCACATCATTACCATTGGCTGGTTGCATTGTGGATTCGGGACGAGGAATAATGATGCTACGGACATCTGCACCAGCAG